TAGCACCTCTAGTAATATATTTACTGAGAAAAATGGTGACGTGTTCAATACTTATTTTACCCACTGTATATATATTAGTTTTTTGTGTGATAAGACAGCAGTCAGGTGGAACAGCTTTCAGGGGTTTGTCCGTTTCTAATGAACATAAAAGCCTTGCTTTAATTTGCTCTTAACCTCTCACAGATTATTTTTCTCCACTGGGTAATCTCACAGTACACCTGCTCCACATTTACACAGATTAATTACATATTCACACCTGGGATCTGCTCTGTTACAGTACCTACTCTACATCACCACAGACTGATCTTATTACTATGGATGTAAATGAGCTGGGACTGATGGAGCTTGTGATGAGAAGGACAGCTGCCACACTGACCTGGAGCTCTCCGAGCTCGTCGTCTGTCCTCTGTTAGAGCGAACCTCTCAGCCTGGAGAAAGAGACGTTCCAACATCACCATCTCTGCTGATGGACTCTCCTGCTGTGAAAACCAAACAAACACATCTGAAATGAAGGAAGGAATGCATTTTGTCTGCTGACTTTCATACCAGAGTTTTCAATTTAAATGATCTTTGCAATGAGAAAGGGACCATGGTTTTGTTAAGCTCTTAAATCGTATTTCTTTTTTGCTTTCTTTATTAACCAACGTTCTCATAGGTAAACATAGACATGTTTGGTATCTATAGAAACATCAGAATCTTGGCTAAAAACTCATAGAGACCATTTATACGTCGACCAGACACATAAACAACAACCAGTTGAATCTATATGTAAACAAACTGAACAAAATGGCGTCTCGGCAAAACCCGGTCTCAGCTGTTCACCAGTGACTTCTTCACACAAACAACATGTCTGCTGAAAGCAGAGGCCTGACAGATTCTAAAAATATAAGTTTCATCACAATCCAACCAGAATTCACTCAACTAGCAACAAAAAAGAGAAGACCTAGCACTCGGAAAAAAACACTAAAAAAACTCTAAACATGTTTTACACGTAAAGCGCAGCATCACTCACCAGACTTCCGGTTGTGTCTACGTGCCATTTAAAAAATAAAATACAAAATGTGCTGTTTTTGCTAGTTAGCTTACTTATTTATCAAGTTTATTAAGTTTTGTAACTAAAAACTTGAATAAACTCTACTTTTGTAGGTGGAGCCAAAATGTGCCAATCTGTGCCACAAGAAAAAACGCCTAAATATTTTTAAACTAAAACCTCTGTCACTTTGTTGTATTTTACTTCAGCAGCACGAGGTTTTGCACAGGTAATGTCCATAAGTGGATTCATGGTTTTCAAGAGTTTTTAGCCTTATTCATTATACTTTTGAAAAGGTTATATACAGAAAAACCTCAGCCGAGGGGAAAAAAGCTATTTTTTTCTATGTTCCATCCTCAGTATGTCTGAAACAAAAGCATATGATGTGATACTGACACTCCTGATGAAATCTCCCAAGTGTTAGCTTTATTTTGATATCAGGGGTTTTTATGTGGTGTTTTTAGGTGCTGAGATACACCCACTTACATTTGGGCATGATTTTTCGAACACAAACTTCAAGAAAACCCATTGGGGCTACCTTGAAAATAATGTTATACAGGATGTCACCCTCAGTATGTGTTATGACTCTCAGTCACACCAGAATTTAACTGAACATATGTAAAATTCATTGAGTTATATAGCTACAGTATGTCTGTGTTTGCTAAGTTTGAGTAGCTCCAGCCACGTTAAACTTGGTTGATTTTGACAGTAGCTGCACCTCTAATCATTACTTTCTGAGAGGCTGTTCAGATTTTTCATTTCCATCTGGTGATTTGATTATTTGTATTGATTGAACCGTGTGCTCACAGCCATCAGCTGCTTTACAGCTTCACTTTAATTTGATTTATTTATTTAACAGGAAAAGATTACTAAAAATCAAGCCTGACTCAGCATAATTGCTGTTTTACAGCAGGTTCCTGTTCTGCAGCACATAAAACACTCAGAATTACAGCATCACAATCACATCAATTACACCACAGACACAAAGACAAACAAGCATAACAAATTTCAGGAAGGCAGCATTTGCAAAATAGGACGTCTAAATATGAGCACAACAAAAAGTGTCCAGCAGATGGCAGACAAGATTCTTCTTAAAGGGCTGTAGTTTTGAAATGGACTTTATGTTTTGAGGAATGTCATTCCATGCTTTAGTATAAACATAGAAGAAAGACCTCTGGCCGTAACAGTTTTTAAAAGTTGGTAATATCAGTTGTCCTTTTGTAACAGATCTAGTTGAATGACCACTTCCAGAATTTGATTTCAATTCAATTCAATTCAAAAATACTTYATTGATCCCAGAGGGAAATTAGGTAATATACTGTATATATACATAGTATTTGGGCAACAATGCACAGAGAGTTCCATAATTGGCACCTTGGAAGATCTGAAAATATAAATTAATACCACTATACAAAACATAATTCTGAAAAGTCAAGGCATCAGACAATGAAAGAACTGTACAGTGATGAGTCCAACCAGGAAGTTTTTTATGAATTTTGTAGGCCCTGTTGTAGAGMCTAACTATGGGTTCTAAGATTTCATTTGTTGTAAGAGACCAAACAGGTAAACAGTACGACATGGTTGAGAGTATAATGGCATGAAGATAGATATTTGAAACAGAAGATGTCAGATTGGATCTAATTTTTGAATAAACGTATAATTTCTGTTTCAACTTAGTGGTTAAGACTTGTACATGATCACGATAAGTCAAATGAGAATCCAAAGTAATTCCAAGATATTTGTAGGTAGTGACAATATCAAGGGGTTTGTTTAAAAAAGTGGGTTGATTTGTTATATTGAAATGTCTCCTGGGTGAGGAAAAATACATGCACACAGTTTTTTTAACATTAATTGACAAAAGATTATCTTGAAGCCAACCATAAAATGTCTGAACTTTGCACATAACATCAGCCCTGTGTTTATTTAGGTGGAAACAATGCAACATAATATTGCTCAGACTATTGGTTTATAATTGACCACTCATTATATCTTATGGTGACCACAGTGGGTCCAACCAGACCTAAAAACAACCAGAACAAACAATTCCCACCCTGCCAAAACGGACACTTTTACTAAAAGCAGCATTGTAGAGAGGCGAGGTAAATGAAAAATAAAAAACTGACGAATATATTCTTAAGCATAGTTTAAGTATTAATTGCGAGAACCTTTTTTTTCCACAGAACAGAAATATAAAAACACACAAAACATTATCGCCCACATTTGTTTTGATGACTCTTTTATAGATTAATAAAACACAAAATTAAGTTTTTCAAAGATATCCTAAAACTAGTCTGGTCCTAAAACATAAATGTAACATTTGCACATCCACTCAAGCACCAGATGTTTTTCTCTCACCAGCAATTTATTCAGACGCAGTAAACAGGTCAACAACCATTGGGTCTCTGTTTCATTGGCCCAGATAAGATAACAGAACCTTCTTCTCCAGCAGGGAAAACTCCCACACACAAAACAAAAAGTAGAAAAACCACATCCCCTATTATCACCCAACAACCCCTGCAGCCACACCAAGACATCAACTCAAAGAACCAGTATAGCACAATTTACAACTATATCTCCTTAAAAACCTGTTAACATTCAGCGAAATGCCMGCGTGCTGTTTTTCTTTTGTTTTATTTTGTAATGTTGTTTCTGTGTTTCCCTTCAACCTGTGTCCGTGTGCAATGCATCAAAATTGACGTCTAGGCCCTCCTCTTTCGATTGACACCTCATTTGAGATATATGAGAAATGACCAACTTCCGGTTTCCGTCATCCTGGATTTGATTGACTGTAGATTCGGCCAGTCAGCTCCGAGCTTCGTTCCGATGCCACAGCTGTGCAGCCAATCACCGTACCTTTCATTTGGTGTATATATTGAGGGGGTGGGAACTTTATTTAGTGACGGGTGAGGTAAACATGGAGGTCGCCGCCATGTTTAGACAGTCCTGCTACGCTACCAAAGACAGCCACACTCACAGGAAAAYCTTTTTTCCATCGTTTTTTGGCCAGTTAGCTGACTAAACCTGCTGATAAGATGAAAATATATTTGTTATTAAGTGTTTYGAGTGCTTCAAGACAYGGWGAAGTAAAAAGGTTTGGATAAAGTTTGCCCCAGGGCAGCTGTGGCTACGATGTAGTTTGCCATCATCAGTGTGTGAATGGGTGAGTGTGAGTGTAAAGCWCTTTGGGGTCTGGAGGGACTTGATAAAGMGCTCTATAAGTTCAGTCCATTTACCATTTAAAAACACTTCCGGTCKGCCATTTTGAATCGCGAATTTCGTCATATTTGAGGACAAATATACATCAAATGTGAGTGAAAAACAAATATTTTTTGCTGCTGGTGGTTTTTTAAGCTGTGTGGAATGTTAATGCTTTGAAAGAAATAAGGATGTATTAGTGGAAATTGGGCTGAATGTACTCCATTTGGTCTAAAGATATCTGAACATAAATATATATAATATATATTTTTTAATTTAATCATGCTGTGAGTAAATATGGATGGTAGAATGTGTTTTGTGGGGGTTTTATCTTTAATTTGAGCCCAGAGTGAAGTCTCTGTGTTGACGCAATTAGAAATTACAATGTTTTAGACAAACTGTACAGTTTGGACATATTGTACATGCGTACAAATATGCAAATGAGACATGCTGGATTGCACTATGTCTCAAATATTCATATTTTATGCTACTGTTACCAAATTTGAACTGGTAATTGTTGGGAAGTAATATTCTAGCCCAGTAAAAATTGTTTATTGATATCTCATTCCCTTCATGTTCTGTGATACTTTATTAATAAAAAAATAATTTAGGGAGAAAAATATCTTGATTTTTGTGTTTTTCACTTCAATATACTAAATACTAGTTACAGGTACAAAGAATATGACTGCTAAAGTTAAAACATTCAGATTATTAGCTTTAAAAAGAGACCAAGCTTGTGAATTTACTCTAAAGGGTTCAAAAGCAGTACTTCATTTAATTTGTGTACTTTTTAAGGCGTTTCATGGTATTTTATGCCAGAAGGTTTTATTAAGGATCATTACAATATGTTCCTGATTTTGTTGATCCTTTTTGAAAAGTGTGGAGGATCACATTTCTAAATTCAAGAAAAAAAGTTTAAAGATGATATTCTTCGTTTAATAATACAAAGGGGAGTTGTGTGCAGTGTCTTACCTGGGTTTCTTTAACCAGCAGCTGTCTGTATTTGTTGACCATGTCCTTGGTGCGTTTTAGTAGAAAGCCCGACATCGTGTAAAACTCCTGGTCCACTGTGGAAACAGACATCCTGCTCTCAGATTAAATACAGACTACAGGAAGGGTGGAGTACAGAGATACTAAAACCTTGGTCAGTATTAATTTGTGATTTAAATGTGTTTTTAATCACAAAMAGGAAAATCTATAAAACCCAGAAACAAAAACTGAAGCAATATTCAACATTTTTCWTCAACCCAAACTCTCTGACCTAAATGAAAGTCCTCCTGAGTGGGCAGGTGACTGGCACAGGTGTGGTATGGCAGCAAGCGTGTAACAGCATCCTTCAGGGATGGGAATGCTGGGGTTGTGAGCGGGTTTTGCACTGCTCTGTGGTCCAAACATAGATGCTCTTGGAATCTAAAAAACAATGAAAATGCTGAGTCAACATCCAGTTTCACATGTTAAGTCAATTTTCTTAATTTATCACATTTTAAAACAGGTCATAACCAAAGTGCTGTAAAATAACAATCACATAAAAGACAAAAGCAAAGAGAAAAACTGAGGAAATGCATTTAGAAAATAACACAAAAAGTACCACAAATCAGTGTGAACGTGCAGAGATTAAGAAGTCTGTCTTATATTAAAAGGCAGATTGTTCAAAGGTTTGGGACCCATGACTGAAAATGCCCTCAGAGATTTAACCTAGTTTTTGGGATTACCAAAAACAACCAATCATTTGATCTCAATGCCAATAAGAACTAGAAGTGTAAATCATCAGCTTTATCACGATACAATATTACATCGATATGTTTGGATGATGATTCGATATTTCTCTATCACAAAGTCCTTCACGAAACGATTTCAATTCAGTTCATTTCACATGTCTGCGATCAATACAAAGCGATATCATATGCCAGTAGAGCACTTTGGGATGTGGTGGAACAGGAGATTCACATCATGGATGTGCAGCCGACAAATCTGCAGCAACTGTGTGATGCCATCATGCCAACATGGACCAGACTCTCTGAGGAATGCTTCCAGCACCTTGTTGAATCTATGCCATGAAGGATTAAGGCAGTTCTGAAGGCAAAAGGGGGTCCAACCTGGTACTAACAAGGTGTACCTAGTAAAGTGGCTGGTGAGTGTATCTGTGCAATAAATTATAACAAAGGATCTTCTTCTTGAGGAGACTTCGAGCCTTCGGAACCAGTGTAGTCATACTGGACCATTTCTACACAGCCATCATTCAGAGTGTGTTGCTGTATGGCAGCTCAGTGTGGTTCWGTAGTCTTTCAATACAACTGAAGAACAGGATRCAGAGGGTTTTAACATCTGCTCTAAAATCRTGGTCCRTCCAGTGGAGAACAAATTCTTTAYTGTTCAACAAAAAGTTAGTCCTGCTATTAGCAGGTTAGAAACATGGCCACCTCTGGTTCTGTGTTGATGTAGCTGTGTGGTTACAGGATGTTAGTCCCACCTGTTCCGACGCACTGCTGGTGTGAGTGTCTCCTCTATCTGCTGCTCCACAGGACCTGCCAGCTGCCACACAAACAGTTTGTTCAAACAAGACCTTTTAAGAGAATTCATTCTAACTTTGTTACATTCATTAATTTTTTTTTCCAAACCACTGATTTCTTTAAATAAAAATGCATTTAAACTCACAGTGAAACTACAAAGWCATAACAACTGAGGAATTTATTTTGGTGGTGTTGTACCTTTTTTCCACACTGCTTGTTGGTCTGACTGGAGGAACCCTTCGTGGTATCAGGAGGCTCTGCAGGAGAGGGTGGGTGCACACTGAGAGTAAATGTATTACTCTCCACGGCCAAGGCAGCTGTGGGCTCTACTAAACAAAACAGTGATGCAAAACATCAGGTGGCAGAATTATTACAATTCTAATGTTAGCTGTGATGTAGCATTTTAAAATGACAGTGATTTTTTGATAACAAAGCAGTTGAACTCACTGTTTTGTGGGAGCTGTTGGACAGCAACATTGTCTCCGTGTTTGGAGAGAGAAGCAGGAGCAGATATAGGAACAATCTGCTGCTGAGGCACAGAGATGCTGGGACACAGTGGGGGTGGGCTGCTCCGCACTGAACAACAACCTGACGGCTGATGTTGGGAAACCTGGACTTGGGAAGCCGAGGTCTGGGACACTGAACCTTCAGGTCCAGGTGGGGAGGAGAACGTTGATGAAGCTGGTCTGAAAGAATCCTGATTCTGAGCGAGGGAACAGACGAGCTGTTTATTTTCAGAGTCTGAGGGATGAGGAGAAACTTCATCGGACTGGTGTGACATCATCTTATGGTCCTCCTGTTCAGAGACTGTGCTGGTCTGAGGTTGGGTCTTCCTGCTGTCAGCCACTGGGGAAGTCAGCAGCTCCATCGGCACCACTGGYAGCGTTCCAACCAGTGATTCAGACGGGACAGGAGAACTGGGTGTTCGCTGTGATCACAGAAAAAACAGACAGTAGCAGTTAGAGAGATTAACTAAACTAAAATAAACTAAAATAAAAAGTTTTCTTCATTTCTTCACTGTGTCAACTAGATCCAGTATTTCTCAGCCTCCTTATGACCCTTCTCTTCCTTTACACTACATTGGGCTGGATTGCAGCTRGAGAGCTCCTGTCCATCTGTCTCAGGTTAGTGGGCATCATTCAGGAGATTATCCCGTCATAAAATGTGCCACTACGTCACACAGAGTCTCTCTGATTGGCTGACACTCCATATCTAGCTGCAAAATTTCACGTTTTCCAACTCAAGCGTCTGTCACTTTGGACACACTATACGTACATCAAACACTTCAGAACACACAGCAACACTTCTCAGTGCCCCTTGATGCACATCCACCACAGACTTTACATGTAAACCTGATACCCCTGACACTCAAATCTTAGGTCTGACCGCAGCATTGCATGCACTCATTTAAGTTTTAAGTGGTGATCTCYGTTTTGGCATTAGGTTCGAGTCCACATGAGACACCATTCTGGTCCAGATCCGGACTCAAGTCCACCTATTAGTGACCCCTGGTCTAAAGCATTCTTGATCTGAGCTTCAGTGTTCAAARCCTGAAGGTAAAATAGGACTAAATGAGAGATAGATAACTACATCCTGTTCGTCCGTCCGTCCTGACGTCCATCTGTTTTCTGCCGCTAATCGGGTCGCGGGGGCAGCAGCCTAAGCAGAGAGACCCAGACTTCCCTCTCTCCAGACACTTGGACCAGCTCCTCTGGGGGAATCCCAAGGTGTTCCCAGGCCAGCTGAGAAACATAGWCCCTCCAGCATGTCCTTGGTCTTCCTCTGGGCCTCCTCCCAGTGGGACGTGTCCAGAACACCTCACCAGGGAGGCGTCCAGGAGGCATCCTAACCAGATGAACCACCTCAACTGGCTCCTCTGGACGTGGAGGAGCAGCAGCTCTACTCTGAGTCCCTCCTGGATGACTGAGCTTCTCATCCTATCTCTAAGGGAGAGCCCAGAAACCCTGCAGAGGAAACTCATTTCAGCTGCTTGTAGCTGTGTTCTCCTTATTTCAGTCACTACCCAAAGCTCCTGACCATAGATGAGGGTAGGAACGTAGACCGACTGGTAAACTGAGAGCTTCTCCTTCTGGCTCAGCTCTCTCTTCACCACGACAGACCGGTACAACGCCCACATCACTGCAGACGCAGCACCAATCCGCCTGTCGATCTCCCGCTCCATTTTTCCCTAATTCATGAACAAGACCCCGAAATACTTAAACTCCTCCACTTGGGGCAGGACCTCCTCCCCGACCCAGAGAAGGCAGCCTACTGTTTTCTGGCTCAAGACCATGGTCTGGGATTTGGAGGCACTGATCTTCATCCCGGCCACTTCACACTCGGCTGTGAACCTCTCCAGTGAGTGCTGGAGATCAGGATCTGATGAAGCCATAGGACCACATCATCCACAAAAAGCAGAGATGTGATCCTCAGGTCACCAAAAAGGATCCCCTCAACACCTCGGCTGCTCCTAGAAATTCTGTCCATAAAAGTTATGAACAGAATCGGTGACAAAGGGCAACCTTGGTGGAGTCCAACTCTCGCTGGAAACRAGTCYGACTTACTACCGGCAATGTGGACCAAGCTCTGGCACCGGTCCTACAGGGACCTAACAGCCCTTATCMATGGGYCTGGTACCTCATACTCCTGGAGTACCTCCCACAGGAGTCCCCGAGGGACACGGTCGAACATCTTCCCCAAGTCCACAAAACACATGTAGACCGGTTGGGCAAACTCCCACGCACCCTCCAAGACCCCGCTAAGGGTGTAGAGCTGGTCCGCTGTTCCACGACCAGGACCAAAACCACACTGCTGTTCCTGAATCCAAGATTTGACTACCCGACGGACCCTCCTCTCCAGKACCCCTGAATAGACCTTACYAGGGAGGCTCAGAAGTGTGATACCCTATAGTTGGAACACACTCTGCAGTCCCCCTTTTTAAATGGGGGACCACCACCCCGGTCTGCCAATCCAGGGGAACTGCCCCCGATGTCCACRYGATATTGTAGAGTCGCGTCAACCAACACAATCCCACAACATCTAGAGCCCTAAGGATCTCYGGGTGAATCTCATCCACCCCCGGCGCCCTGCCACCGAGGAGCTTTGTGACCACCTCAGTGATCTCGGCACCAGAGATTGAAGAGTCCGACCCARGGTCCTCAGGCKCTGCTTCCTCATTGGAAGTCATGCCGGTGGGATTGAGGAGGTCTTCAAAGTATTCCGCCCACCGACCCACAACGTCCTGAGTTGAGGTCAGCAGAGCACCATCCCCACCAWAAATAGTGTTGGTGACGAACACCACCCCCTCGTCCCCCCCGAAACGCCGGATGGTGGACGAGAATTGCCCTGAAGCCATACAGAAGTCTTTTTCCATGGCCTCTCCGAACTCCTCCCATGCCTGAGTTTTTTTGCCTCAGCGACCACCCAAGCCGCAATCWGCTTGGACCTATCGGCTGCTTCCGGAGTCCCACAGGCCAAAAAGACTCAATAGAACTCCTTCCATAACTACATCCCATTATCAGTCAAACATAACAGATCCTGTTTTGCATCATCGCTAAATCAAAATAATTACTACAAAAGAACTGACCTGCTGCAAATGTTGCATAAAGTCCTGGTTCTGACTCGTCGMTGGGGTGACCTCTTCCAGAACTGGGTTCAGGTTTGTTGGGGGAATCAAAGGTTTACGTACCTCCACGGCTGAATTAGGGCCACGTTGTGGCTCAGGTGGGGGCTGTAAAACTGTGACTACAGGAGGAGGTGAGGACCGGAGTCCTGCAGCCGTGGACTGGACGAAGACATGTTGGACGCGTCCAAAGTGCTGGGAAGAGACAAACCCTAATAAAACACTGACACAAAGCTCTGTCTTTGTTTGTCTTGTACTTCAAGTTTCCCTCTTTTACATTTAATGTTGGGTTGCAATAAACTAACAGCTGAAGGACAAAAATAGTCTTTTAAAAACCTGGTGGCCTTTTTTAGAGAAAATAACAAAAGGCCTGATCTAGGAACAATTTATRGTTGTAAAACTGGATTGTTGTGGAACTCTAAATGTCTGATCTGGTCTGTAATATCATATGATCAGCCATACTATCTGTGAAATAAGAAACTGAGATACATCAGTTTGCAAACCCTTAAATTTCGAATAGTCACAGTTTTGATAACATTGTCAATTTATGAAATTCTGTTCTTTTGGTTTTGTTGTGCCACAGACGTTTAGTGGCACCCCACATAGTCACACATTACAGAATGTCTGCAGGCTCCACTGCTTGTTCATTCCTTAGATTGGCAAATATTCTGAAAGCTAGTGCATTTGTGTGTTTTTCAGAAAATGTGGCGACAATAACATAATTCAAAGTGAAACTGCAATGAAGCTAAAATCTCATATGGTTATTTTATTCTTTTGCAAAAAAGGTCAATTTAAATTCAAGAAACCCTACAATATGAGTAAGTAAGAATCTAATCCACCATGAGTGATGCTTATATTATACAAGAATTATTTTGTGCCTTATTCCGTCAAACTCCTAAACCAGAGGAGGAAATAATGAACTCACCAGTGCAGATTACATTTTAGCACATTTAATTATTATGAATATGATATATGAATGTTTATGATGTTGTGATGTGTGTTGTTTTTATGGGAGGCATCAAACAGATCATGTAAACTAAATTTCTATTTTTTATGGACAATAAAGTTTTTATCTTATCTTAAAGTCAAAAAATGTATTTAAAACTTATTAGAAGAACAGAAAAGAAGGTATAAAATTAGTGGGTGTGGAGTCTGATAATCATTCATCCATGTGGAGCTCACCTGTTGGAGCTGGTGGAAAGGTTCCTCAGATCTGCTTCTGTGGTCTGGAACAGACCTGTCAGGCAGCAGGACCACAGAGGCCTGCTGGAGGCCCAGCTGGCCTTCTGGCACTGCTGCCCGTGGAGCAGGGGGGGCCTGGGCAGCAAAAGGCAGCCCCTGAACAATAGAGATGGAAGGAAGATCTGGGGGAAGCACACCTGAACTGTTGATCAAGGTAATGTGGTTCCCCAGAGCAGGACTGTGGACCAGCGTAGCTTGTGGTCCCTGCCCTCCTGGAGGGTAAGCTCCAGCCAGCTGTGCTGGCATCTGGAAGACAGCGGCAGGGCCAGACTGGAGCTGTAAAGGTCCTGACAGCACAGTGGCCTGGCCAAGTAGCTGCCCTGTAGGAGTGCTGAAGACCGGCCTGAAGTTCAGCTGCCTTTGGGGCACAGCTAAGATCTGAGAGCTGTGGCCAGCAGAGGGGGGCATGCTGTGGACTGCTGGGTCCTGGTGACTGGGCTGGAGCAGAGATGGAGCTGCTCTGGCAGGCTGGGCAATCGTAACAGGAACCTGGCTTGGAAGAAGAAACTGGTTCTGACCTTGAAAGAGTCCCTGAKGCTGGATCACAAAGGAACTGCCCTGGTTGAGCAGCTGGAGGCTGACAGGTTTAGAGAGCTGCTGTGCTGGCTGTGCCTGTGGAACTACAGGGTTTGGGCCTGGAGACAGTAAAATATTAGGCGAGGCCGTCCCAGGGACAAACGTAAGACCAGGACTGGGTTTGGGGCTGATTTGAACTAGTCTGGGCTGGATGCTGATGGGTACTTTGGGTTGGATATGAAGAGGAGCCCGCTGTAAGACCAGGCCTGGTGCTGCTGCAGCTCTCAGTGTCGGGGACAGCCGGGGGACAGCTTTGTGTAAAACCATTTTGGAGCCTTGAGCAGGACTTAAAGAGAAGGAAGTGTCAGAAGATGGGGCAGGAAACACGTTTCCAGGAAGTAGTCCCATCAGCTGAGGAGGGGCAGCAGSTTTCAGAGAGGGACAGCCTGGCCCAACAGCCAGCAGGGAGGGCTGGGGGGGCTCCACTGCTGACTGCGTGTCTCTGGGCACTGCTGGAGGAACGGGCAGCGTCACAGACTTGGGGATGAAGGGAGTGGATGGAGAAAGAAGAGGGGCTGGTGAGTACAGGGACAAACTATCCCCAGCTTGTGGCAGGTCTGCTTCCAGAGCCATGGTCTGCTCAGTGATGTCAGCTTCCTGCAGACTCTGCTGCAGGATATCACACGCCCCCACCCCCTCCTCAGTCAGGTCCCCTTTCTTTGCCTCCACCAGTGGGCCATCCTGCACAGCCTGTGGGTCCTCTCCGCCTTCTGGGGATGACAGGAGGGCGTCATCCAGAAAGGACAGATCCACACACCCAGATGGAGGAGTGTCTGGGGAATCCCTGTCGTCCCCCAGCAGAGAGACGGGACTCTGTAGACAGAAAGAGACAACAGAGGAGACAGAGAAGGCATGGGGGGTGATTAGTCAGAGTAAATGCTGTTTAAAGGGATCCCTGATCAGTTGTAACATTAGACTTTATTTTATAAACATATATTTTAACTGTAAAATAAAGGCTGTAAAAACACTGTAGGCTGTTTAGTTTTTATAATTTTTAAACTAAAAGTTTAAAAAATATATTTTAACACGGACGGGGCCATTTTATTTCCACACAAAGCATTCTGGGTAAATGATGACGTGGATAGGTCCTCGGTGAGAAGCTGCTAGCGAG